ACCCACTAAGGCTGTCAATGTATGATAGAAATATCAGCACATAACTAGAGCACTATTTTTTATTATTAGTATGCGATCTCTGTTGTAGTATAGTAATAAATGACATACAAAAGTGACTAGTGACATAGTAATGATATAGAAAACTTTATTCAATGTTCTTAATGTATAAACTCAGAAGTTATAGGAATATGGCTTATTAATACTTGTAGTAATTAAACAATATTTTTAAAATATATACATATATTGGCGACTGACCGCCGTGAATTTTTTAAATATTTTTATTATTTTAAACTTATATTTTTAGATATGTTATTTTTATATGTCATGTCAATTTACATTTCACTTATTTCTTATTACACCGTTAATCTTCCTAAAAATAAATAAAATAAGTTGTCTTACTATATATATTGTTCGCAACTGCATTGTGATGTTACAATACAGTTCGTTGATCCGTTGTAATATAAATGTAAATTAAAATAAATAGATAAATAATTTATTTGTTTGTTACCAATAGAAATAAATACACACAATTTGCTTTAAAATGTTATTGTATAGGATAGACAGTCACTTTAACTGCACATAAATAATAATCGATTTAATAGAATTAAATAGTTATTCACCCACTATGTTCAAGTCTACTAATAATATTTATAAATACGAAACTGTATCTTTTTGTATATTTTTTACATTTTCTAGACTGTCTGAACGGATCGTAATGAAATTTGATGTGTAGATAGACGGTGTTATAAATATGGACAGGCCATATTTTATTAAAAAATCTAATAAATAGGGGATGAAAATTTGTGAAGGTAAATTCGCCAGTAATAGCTAGTCCACAATAGCTTGCTTCTGTATAACCATTTTACGTAATTTTTCTTTCTGTGTACATTATTTTGCCTACTCTCTCCTCGCCTGGGGATATGGGGTGAGTGATGGTCAGTGATTAGAGCGGTTCCCCCGCTTTGTACACACCGACATCCGTGTGGATTCAATGTTCATTATAGTAAAATATTATCCTGAGTAACATATTGTGTAAACTATAATAATGTATGCATTATATTGGCTTGCATAATAGTTAATGACCGGTAAAACATCCACGGTAGAATTTATTGTAAATGAGTTAAGTTTAATACCTTCTATATCATATATGTGATCGTATATATAATATATAATGGTTAAGATATAGAAAATCTGGCCTACAAAATTACTGAACTTAATTTTTAAATAACCACTACTTATTTTTAGAATCTACCGCTTATTCGAAAAACTGATGAGACATCACGAAAACAAGCAAGGAACTTGCGTGTTGCTTAAATATATATAATATGAGGATATGCAATTTACAAGTTAATGTCAAAAACAGAATTAACAAATTATATAGGTATCTGTAGAGCAGACCGCGCATAGATCTTCAACAAATTAATCAATATCTAATATTTATGATAATCATTATAACATTTTAATCAAACAACAACCCACTCTTTTATGATGGTAAAAACCTCTTTAAAGAATTTGCCATGAATCGTCTACTTATTCATTCACTTATACATAATTGAATTCTGTTAGATAAGTTATAATCAATGAAAATGATGTCCGTTAAACAGGTTGAGCAAACGGTCGTGGGATTAATAAATTAAACAATCTGATCGATTATTACTATATATAAACGATTTGATGTAAATTAGTCAATATTTTGTTGTACATTGAACGCGTAGAAGTATTAATTTTAAATGTTCGTAGTCAAACTTGCCAATGGTTATGAAAATGTGGCGATTTTCATTCGTTTTGATTCCACATCACCTGTGTACATATTGTTAATGATTCAAGGTCATTCATTGGACATGAATAAATATATCATATATCGTAAAAACTAAAAGCAATTCCACTTTAAGTATAGACAGATTTGGTTTTTCTATTTTTGCGGTGTTTATTTGTCATTAAATATTTAAGCGAAATTTATTTGAAAATTTTCATTATATATATAAGCGTAATTCGTAAAGAATAACCGTTTACATAAAAATACGATGAATAAATATTGAAACTTTCATAGAAAGCGGTCACGTGATATGAAAGTTCAAAAATTTACCACGAATGTGGCAGTTTAAACACCGGGGTATCACGTATGCATTGCAGACCCTTAAGAAACTTTAATATACTCTTCTTAAAAAGCTTTCATGTATCCACTGAGAGTGGCTCAGTGGGTCAGCTCTAGACCTACATAGTTTTCTGCTGAGTTTAAGTAACCTCTATGACTAATCATGTAGACAACAAAATAATTTAATCCTTTTTATATAGTTTGGTGAACAAACGTGCTTGCGGCTAATCTGTTGGTAAGTGGTTACCACCGCCCATGAGCATCCGCAGCACCAGGGTATTGCAAGTTCGTTGACGGCCTTTTAAGAAGGAATAAGCTCTTTTCTTGAAGGTTTCAAGATCGTATCGGTTCGGAAATACCATTGCTGGAAGGCGATCATTGCTTCATATTTATGTAGATATTATTTTAGTAATAGGTAAGTGTCATAATTGTAATTCATGAATAAAAGTCGGACACACCAAAACATTTGAAACCTAATGTCCTGAATATAAATGTGTTGCTTGCTTAACATTTCAGAACATAAAATCAAGTCTTTAGAAATAGATGTACATTTGTACATCTACTTATCCACTGTTATATACTCATGTCAATCTTTTTGCATATATATTTACATATTAATGTGACTTGAAGTACGAGTAAGTACGTTGTACATTTAGGATTACATATTAATTCTCCTTGATTTCACAGAAGTTGTTCTACTTGAACCAAAATGCATGAAGTTTAATCTATGTATATGTAAATATAAATAGTAGTAAATAAACTGTTCAATGTAACATGTTTTATGTAATTATTTGTGTTGATTTTATTTTAAAGAAAAACAATAAGATAGCCGTACCACGGCCGTCAGAAAATATATGTTTTTTTCGGACTATTCTAATAATTTTGGTCGCAGCTGGCCTTTACAGCTTTACTGGACGATAGGGGGCAAGTGCAGATGGCATTGACAATTAAAGTATTGTCCTGTAATTTACATGGTACCGAGACATGCCAGATTACAGCCTGTAATCAAAGCATGTTTCCATTCCATTCATCCATCAGTTGTGATCAAATAACCGATTTATTTCAATTTGCGGCTATTACATAATTGTGTATTATATTATTCAAAAGGTATAATTCATTTAATCATTATCCATTTTCTTACATTTGATATAATAAGAATGAGCACTTTACTATTCAAACGAAACAAATGAATTCATTATAATACCACCTGGCATTTATTTGAGAGGCGAACATGTGACCTCGGAACAAACCGTTGAGTCTAATCAATATACATCAAAAGCATCACGGAGCCATGATCCTTTACGGAACTATATCTTGTTTTTACCAGTTTTCACTGCAGAAATAACGTTAGCCAATAAAACATTGTGATTTACCAATCCGACGCTTATTTTGTTATGCTGAATTTACATTTTACACTACTTTCGACCGCGACTTTGTTCGTATGGTATTTAGTAAAGTAGTACCGCTTTCCTACTTCTACATTGACTACTGCATAACGTTTATAGATATTTTTATATAAGATCTATTTTTAAAGAGTAAAGAACATGTGTTCAATTCTAGAATAAGTATTAAAAATCATATCCTAATACAATAAAGCGTTTTCGTATAAAATAAAGCGTACTGGTTTTAGTAAAACAATTTTAGGCTCTGACTGACAGACACTGAAAAATGTCCGTCGGGATGTTTTTCAGTGTCTGTCAGTCAGAATAATGATTGCTAGTTACTTGTTGATGCGGAGAAAATAAAACACATTGTCACAGAGCATACAAATTAATAAAATAATTATTTTTTCGAAATAAAAAAGAGCAAAGGAAGACTCTATAGACGGCTTTATTGTAGAGAAATCTTTATTATGAAGTTCTTTTCATAATCTGATAGTCTGGTAGAAGTTGTAACAAATTACTATCTATATCCAATCCGAGGCGAAGGTACTTATTGTTGTATTATAAAAAAAACTTAGTTACATAAACAATGATGTTTGAGAAAAATGGAGAATACATCATTGTAACTAAGAAAGAGAAAGAGTTTATAAATAATAGGCACTCTTCAGCCTTCAGCCTTAGAAAGAAAAGACGTCGAGAATACTTGCTATTATGATGTTTTTGATTATTTTTTACGTACAGATGTAATTTAGTAATAGTTTTATTATACTGAGCAGGTATTAGTAGATATCTACGGTCAGATCGCGGCGGTAACAATCATTTGCATCAATTTGACACACTGCCGCGCTGTAATTGAGTTTCGGAATGATTAAATTGATTGAATTGCAAACCAATTTTTAGTTAACAACCACATGTGAGTTACACATAATTGTATTTCAAAGCATTGATTTGTTAATTATCTATATGTTCAATGTTCATTTTTGGAAATATCTATTTCTGTATATTGTAAAATGTCATGGTGAAATAGGAATAACCTTTATTCAAATAAATTAAATGGTATCACTTTTGAACTGTATATTTTTTTTAATATACCGGACGTATTTTGAATTTTGAATTTTGAATTTTACAGAAAATGCGCAAGAAACTGTTGTTCTTTAAAAGAAACGTGTTAGTAGGCACAACAATAGCAAACAAATTTTTAGCACAGTTCCTACTATTTAGGTATTAATTTGAATAAAATATTTATTTAAATAAATCAGTCATAGTGCTCAGAGCAGACAATTCTCTACACCCGTTCATTCACCACCCGTTCATACACCCGTTCAGAATTTAACGTAGATATTTATTTTAAGTACTATACTTAAAGGTCGTTGATTCAGAGATGAAGTCACTCAAATATTCTAATATTTCTCTTCCTGCCCAGCCAAATCTAATATTATTTATTTATTTAAGTCGAATGAATTTATTGGGCAAATAAGTCATTAAACACTATAATTTCATTTCATAAACTTTGTTGTTTCCAGTGATGTTCCACTGAGGCATGGGTCAAACGGATCAGGCGCGGTCCCGAGCGAGCCCTCGGCGACGCTCGCCGGACCTGCCACCTCTGCCGCCCCCCATACAGCCCTGTAGCGGCTTCCTCGGCAACGTGAGTATATTACACTATACCTTAGATTCCTGTAAAGAACTCAATAATCAACATGGTCAGAGGACTACTGCTATCAGTCAGATATTACAGTCGTTTTTTAATGTCATTGGAATGACATACAAGCTGACAGCTAACCTACTGATAAGCAGATGGTAACCGTCGCCTATATACATGAATAGCACTACGTCATCACGTTATCATATGGACTCCGTAATACTGATCATGCGTTGCTATTTCAAAGGATTAAGATGTCATGCTTCTATTTCATTGGCGCCTGAAGACCAACTCCTGCCTGACGGATATGATACATCTATTCTTTGAATTTCTAAATATATATTAATAGCGCTCCGTCCCAGCTTGCCACGGGTGTATTACAAATCTTTGAATTTCTCGATTTTACTGTATTACAATATTCATGTATTATACATATAAATCTTCGTTTTGAATTACTCTATCTATCGCTGAAAACTACATTAAAATACGTTGCGTAGTTTAAAACATCCAGGCGAATAGATAACGGAAGCGAACTCATTTTGTAACATGTACCTAAAGATTATATAAAATAGTTTAGTAGGTGCGAGTTTGTAGATATTCTAAATAAGTCAGCTGGAGTATAGTGCTGCAGTGGAGATAAGTATGTCTACACAGCAATATTATCATATAATGAAATAATATCTCAATAACTACTGGTTCAAATTGAAAAATTATTTTTGTGTTGGATAGACCATTTGTCAAGGAAGGCTTTAAGCTATATAATATTACGCTACGACCAACAGGAGCAGAATATTAGAACAGGAATGAAAAATATTGCAAAATGTGGGGAAATGAAACGCAGTCGATGTTACGCGGATCAGCTAGTAATATAATGATATAAATAATTACATAGAATGTCCACGTGTAAATATCTATCCGAAGGCTGTCCGGGCACTTGTTTGAGTTTAAATAGATTTAGGGTCAGAGTTTAATCATTCTAGAACAAGTTCGTAACATTTTATCTAACTTTATATTAATTTTATTCTAATTTGGATTTTATGCGTTACAAATTAAATAAATAATAGTGATTCATTGGTGTGTCCAATACGTTTTTTATAAATACGAACCTAACGCTTTTTAACTTCAAATTATACAGAGATTACACAACATCAAATGCATTTAATTATTATAGCATTTATAGCTAATAATTTGAACCTTTTAACGTGTGTACGTGCTGACAATTTTTTATTGTTTTAAAATAAACTTAATAAAAATGTAATTTTTTTTACACATTTTAATGTAATTCCTCCAGAGATATGTGGGTATTTTTTCCCAGTAAAATACAAATAGTTACAAAGTAAGTATTGAGAAACTTTTTTTACAAACTGGAGAATATTGCAGAATTTTCTGCGCAAACATAATTTTTAAAGCAAATACATATAACCTACTGAGTATTTCTAAAATGAGAAAACAGTTTCACTTAAAATCATATAAACCCACGTGAACCATAATAGAAATTAGGCAAACTATGCGTGTCGCATTGGATTCACTCGTATCAGCGCCGGTTTAAACGTTTCATAGTTAATATAGATGGCGGCGCGACACTAATCTATCTATGAAACGATAATGTCACCGGTCTCGGCGTCATTGTAGGGGCACGTTCCATTTCACACGCCAGTTTACCGAGCATTAACATAAAATTAAGCAACTGCAGACCATCCGTCTTGCTTCGCCGACTTTCCTCGACTTATCGGCCGGCCAGTTTAAAAGCTTTAACGGTATCGCGACGAAAGTGATGCGTAAATCAAAACGGATCGAAGACGACTCGGCCTTGTCTCTTACGGAACGGGTTAATAAGCTGACGTGATGTATGAAGCTACGGGGATTGTGGGAGATGCCGAAATGAGCTGAATGACAATCCGTAAATCCTCTTACCATGTGCGCAACGGTATCCAACACTTACGTAATCATATGTCATCGTCTGAGTTCCACTTATTACAAGTCTACAGCATATAATCTGATTCTATAACGATTTGCTAAATCCCCATCGTTGTTGGGTACCTATCACAAATCGCAGCAATTTATGCCGGCTACGGAGTACGCTGGCGGCGAAACGCAGCAGATTATGCGCGAGTGCAATCCGAGCAATCTCCTTACCGCCATAAATTGCTCTGGAAGGTTCCCTCAGTGAGCTTACGCTCTTATTAGGTGCAATCTGATGTTATGACAGTAACTTCAGGGCAAGCAGCGTAAATAAAAACAAACACGATGGCACAGTTTCTACTATACTTTGTGTGCTTGACAAGTTGGCAGTTTGACACTTGATTATGAGTTTAGTAGTCTACATTAATGTTGAATTGAGAATGGTCGCTGATATAGAATACCAATTAGAACGAATCGCTGGTATCGTAAATACTGTATTTATGTTGAGAAGTCGTGTAAGTTAAGCAAGGCGCTACATGTCGACGTATTTACCAGAGGCACTAATTGGCAAAGCCCCATTACCGTTATTCACACAAACATATTTCGCGGATGCATCGCACCAAACCGTGGCCGAGATCAGGTACATATTATTTATTTTTAAACTCATTAAATTAACTGTCTTAAACTTTCGACACGTGCCGTGGTTATGTAGGCAGCCGAAAATAAAATCTTTAAAGCCGAAACCTCCTCTGTAATATTTATGATAATGCATCGCTGCTTTTGTAAAAATGACTCTTAAAATACAAGAGATAATGATGTAAGTACCTACATCTTCATGACTAAGTGCGCAGCATGTGAGATTTATTTCCATCTATCCAGTCGCTTTTAAATTATCAAGTAGGAGTCTCGCGATGAAAAGGCAACAAACAATCACAAAGTTTTATATCGGCGCATTCTGAATGTGCAGGCAGGACACTATTTGCCGGGTAACTCTGCGCTCCATACAAAGTCCACACAATGGTCTATATGTTCGCTCGCATCTTATTGTTATTCCTGTAGTGTCAATTTTAGAATGTAGGTGGCTCCTTTTACGGCCTTTGTTCGTTGCCGATGTTTAAGGCTAGCATGAAGGGAGCATTATTCTCGGTTATATTGGTAAACAAAGCCGGGCAGCTCACGGTCGACCTCTGAACGGCACAAGATTATACTTATTTGCCTTTTATTTTATAGAAAACATCGGTACGATGCACGTTCGAAGAGCAGGATGTCGGGCAACAAGAAATGAGCCGTGTAGGGTTGCCAACTTTAGATGTATAATCTCTTACGAAGAAGTAAAAGAATCTCGTATACTGACGTAATTTGGCATTTTAACCTCGTACGTCATTGTATTTTTCGATGTTTGGTTGATTTTCATAGGTCAAAATCTCTTACAATCGTCTAAGAGGATATCCTTATTCGGGAAACCAAAAATCCCTGTGCCGTTTGTACAACTGCCACCCCTGGAGCTGATTCTAGCTGTGTCTAGCTTCAACGAACTTTTTGTGTAATAATCTGCGGATGTATTAATATTCTCGGTTGGTTTATGCGATGCACTATCTGCTGTATAATTTTTCATTGTCAGCCGGTTTGATAGAAATTACCGGATGGCAAGAAATAAATCACTGTGCACTAAATTAACACGTAGATATCCGTAGCAAATTATTTATAACTTAAGTTATATCGGTGTAAGTTAACAGGTAAACGTTTTCGTTCCACTAAGTTTAGAATGTGGAGCATCACACAAGTGGCAATATTTCTTGAGCAGAGTGCGTAGGTGTGGATGCGGCCGCCTGCGCCAAGCTGCATTCTATTCCAAAACTATTAATACCAAAGTAGCTAATTTGAAAGACAATTTTGAATTAAGTTAACTTACATTTTATGTGTTTAGTCACGGTTGTCTCAACAAAAATCGAATTAATATATATGTTAGTGATACATTTAGTTTCACAGTTTTCGTTATGAGATAGAAATTTCCAACTGAATAAAATATATATCTCTCATCCAGTATCGCTTTATTTTCTCTACTTTATCAAAAGTAAAGATGGATACCGTTCTGGACACCTTATGTCCACCATGTCCATTTGCTATATGTTTAAACTCTGTCCATTTTTTATGTGACCAAAATGACAAACAAACTGGAACATCATCTAATGGTCAGTGGTAACCGTCGCTTATGTACATAAGAGGCATTACGGACATGACATTATCATGTGACGATCGTGGTACGCCTCATTTTTCAATCTGGAGTACTAAGACATTGTGGCTTTGTAACCTGTAATTTCGCTGACATATCCTCCAATCGAAACACAGCTTAAAAATCAAGCTGCTTGACGTATGCAATAGGTGAGACTGGTGGTCTACTGTTGGATTTTAAAACTAACTTCTTTAAAATATTAATTGGATTTATCACAAAAAAAAAAACATATTACACGTAACTATGCTGATTCGCTATATGCAATAAATTAAATAGAAATAAATATTAAAGATACATAAAATAATGCAGATAGACATGTCGGTAAAGACGTCTTAGACCACCCGCATTATCAGTAACTGTTCAGTCCAAGTTCACTAGATCTGATAGTGGAGTTGTTAATTAAATTGAGCATCGGTAAGGCTCGAGTAGGCTCGGATATGCAAAATGCCAATTAGTACCAATCCACCTGCTAACGTTCATCCATCAATGACTCTGTACAACAATGTTTCTACATTATTCAAGGGTTGTTATTACATTACAAAAAGGTTTATTTATAAATAATTTACACTTAATAAAAAGGTATCTGCGTGGGTAACTTTGTCTCATTTATTTGAGCCGGCAAATAGCTGTTTCGGTTAAAGGGTGAGTGTGATAAGGGAGTGAAATTACAGGAAATGGAGGCATGATATCTGAAGTGGAAGTATTCAATGTACGTGATAAGGGAAAGTTTTTTGAGAGAGAGAGGTTTTGTAAAGAAAAGGAATGTGTACAGGAAGCGACCACATGAGTGGTATCACGGGTGTCACATGATAATGTGATGCCTGTAGTGTTGTTCGTATGCGTAGAAGACGGTTACCATTTACCATCAGCT